AGAGAGAGAGAGAGAGAGAGAGAGAGAGAGAGAGAGAGAGAGAGAGAGAGAGAGAATCTGGTTCGTGACACTTTATAAGGGAGAAAATAAAGAGGCATTAGGCACGGGGGGTGTCTGAGATGGAATTGTCGGAGACAGCGCCGGGCTGTGCTTCTGACACTTGTCGACTCCCCCGCACTCTGTCACCGCCAGAGAAAGGCCGCGAGGGGACGTCTGTCGGCATACATTGTTGCAGAGCACACAGTGAGGGGTTGGGTGGGAGTGCGTCTCCAATGCAGGCATCAATAAAACACACGTCTGCCGCACCAACCTTGGCTTCTCGCTCCTCGCTCCTCTGACGCTGCCCGCAACTCCCCCGTGCTCCCGCACCGTGTTGCTCTCATTAAATGAGCGCGCACTTCGTTAGTCGCGGAGCTCGACCGCTTCAAAACTGGAGGCTCCTCTCCTCCTGCGGCCGGAGTCGTTTAGCCGGCGTGATGAGAAAAATGTACTAGCACTGGCGGTCCACGCAGCGAGTAATTATTGTTTTATATCGTTTTAGATCGGGGGGGATGATAGGGCTGGCGAATCTCTCCGTTATTCCCGCTCCACCCCACAGCCAGCCAGCCACGAAAAAATATGGAATGGGAAGAAAAAAAAAGAAATAAAACGAGATGGGCGCGTCATAGCAGTTGTAGTTGTAGCGGGGCGCGCGAGCGCGGGCCCATTTAATATAAGGGCAACAGAGCGGACACACCGCCAAAAAAATAATAATAATAATAACATTCTCCGAAAAGAGTAGGGCTAGAGAGTGATTCTATTCTTTCGTGACCCGCCACAGTTTCTACGTGCCCTGCGTGGTGATGCTGGGCATCTACTGCCGCCTGTACTGCTACGCGCAGAAGCACGTCAAGAACATCCGCGCGGTGACGCGGCCGCTGGCGGCGCAGGCGGCCAACAGCAAGGTGGGCGGGCCGGCGCTGCCACTGCACCTGCACGCGCACTCGTCGCCCTACCACGTCTCGGACCACAAGGCCGCCATCACGGTGGGCGTCATCATGGGCGTGTTCCTCGTCTGCTGGGTGCCCTTCTTCGTCATCAACATCGTGGCCGCCTACTGCAAGGACTGCATACCCTCGTCGGCCTTCAAGGTAAAAGCGAGCAAAATTTCTTAAATTTGCATTTATTTATATTATTCTTGAAGAAAAATGTTGTCGGGCGCGTGTGCGTATATATAATTTCATAGAATTCATTAAGCAAAAAGGGTTATGTGCCGCGCTCTCTCACACGCGCCCCTCAATTAGTCTCCAAACTTGTGGAGGATCGTTGCTTCAGCCCGGCGTACTTTTCGTCGTCTGATCCCCCGGATTCCCTGCCGCCGACGACTCTCTGCCAAACTCGAGAGTGGCGGGGTGCGCCGCCGGGCGCTCCCTGCACTGCGCGCTGCGACTCGAGAGAACCACAATCCTTTTTCCTCCTTTTCCCCAATTGCGGAGTAGAAAAGGAGGAGGAGGAGGAGGAGGGCGGCGGTCGGGAAAGTGGGGCACGAGAAGTTGCGTTAACTTCCAGAATAAACACCGGAGCCTGTGAATGTTTACGGGAAATAATTAAAACTTAGAAGAAGGGAAAAAGGGACGAACTTATGCTGGTGTGGACACAATAGGGTGCAATCTGTCGCCCGTGTCTCACCCCCCTTCACCTGTCCCCCCTGCTCCCCCAGCCGCTACTAGGCGTACCCACATTCTCTTTCCCAGCTTCATGCCCCGCCCTCCCCTCCCCTCACACCCGCTTCCAATTTACCCGCAACATTTTTCACCTTCCGTCGGGACGACGTAAAACACGGCCTTGTATATCCCCAGCCGGGTGCAGCGCCCGCCCGTGCGGACCGCGCCAGCCCCACCTCGCCCAGCCGTGCGCCCGGCGCCGCCTCTTCGCAGGTTTAAAAACTGCGCATTTTTGTTGTCTCTACCCAGCCGACCAAAGCTGGTTCTGCTGCATGTGGAAGAGGAGAAGAGACTGTTGGCCGCCCTTTCTCCCCCTGCCCCGTCCCCTCTCCATCCCTTCCCCAACGCGGACCGCACCACCAACACCACGCCGTGCACGCTGCAATGCGCGCCCCCACAGCGCAGAGGTGCAAAGCGGTCCCGCGCCGTTCCGCGAAGCGAATACTCATCCAATCGCAATGATGAACATCCATTTTTTGGCCGCTTTGCGTCACACTGCTCCAGCGTGTCCGCCCGGCCGGCGCGCCCCCTACGCACCGATGGGAAAGACTGAACCACCCCCGACCCTGAACCATTTCACAAAATACTAAGGGTGGGGGGCACCGAATCGTTGCAGGTAAAGCCTTAAGCGCCTTTTCTGTGAATGTTCGATACCACTTGTGCTGTGTGCGCGCGCACTTGAACTAATCGCGCACCAACATTGCAGCGCCCTGCAGGTTTTCGCTGTGCTCGGGGCCCGCCCTTACCCTCGGGCCTCGCTCTCGAGCCGATTGCCGCGTATGTCGAACGCTCTGTCGCTACAAACCTGGAGCGAGGCCGGGCCCTGCCTGCCTGCCTGCCGGCCGGATGTTTCTTTCTCCCTCGCTCCCTCGTCATATCGCGCATCGCCCCCCGGCCCTGGGGGAGAGGCAGGGGCGGGTGACGTTTTACAGATTGCCACGCCACCGGGCGCTGCAGCAGCAGCAGCAGCAGCTCACGGGGAATCTGAAGGAGAGGCGGGGCGAGGGCGGCGAGGGCCTTTTCACCGCCGGCCGTGAGACCAGCGGGGACTGCGGGGACCGACGCCCGACCACAATCCATCATACGGCCCGCACACGCCCCCGCCCGCGCCTGCCTATCCACCC